TGACACTTAGAATGGCACCCAGTTGATAGTAATATAGACATGTTTGCTAATGATACGGTTAGTTACCTCTCATTCTCAACAGGGTCTCAACAGAGTCCTCAAAACTTGCACGAATGGCCAGGGCACATCTTGAAGAAGCATAACAAAGAACCTGTGGGGATATTAAGATTTAAGTCAGGATGACTGGTTCTTGTTACTAGCACCAAGGGATCTTTTCATCTCCCAAAATAATGAGATTATCCCCCAACATAGGTCAGCATGGCATAGAATACATGATCTGTGATAGGAGATGCATTTCGGATCCTTTCATGAAAAGTAAATGTCCTTCCTGACTGCATTTTCAACTTTAGTATGTGTGCCTGCCTTTTTCTTCTTTTAAAAATGTAGTAAGCTTCACCCACCAACCTTTAGTACCAGCTGTATAAGGAGCAACTAATATCAAGACAAACATGCATAAAATGCTTATGCCCCATCCACTTTATTTTAAAACACTCTTCAATTTGTCAATACCTTAATTCTCTAAGCAATGTTAGAGTGGCTGACCACTTTTGAAATTATCTGTGTTTTGTTTGGTGCTTGAAGGGCATGAAAAACTTCCCTCCACTTCCTTCTCCTCTCCCAGGGCTCATTTTCCCCTTTCTTTTCTCTGCCCTGCTTGCCCTCTGACCCTGCCTAGCTCTGCTGTTTCCACGGACTTCTGAATCTAATTAATGTCATAGTGGCTATATAAGTGAATTATGTAGGCAGGAGGATGCTGGAAACTTTGAGGAAGGTGCATTCCTTAGGGAAAAACCTGGTTTTGTTGAAAAGAAAAAAAGAAAGAAAGAAAGAAAGAAATGCACATTCCCAGGAACATTCATTCCTAAGGGGGCAGAATGTCAGTGAAGTGTAATATCTCAGCAAGTACTTACACTTAATAAATATCTGTTGTCTGATGAGCAGATGAAACCCTAGGAGCATCTCTTTTGACATCTGGGCAATATTCAGCTATTATGGAAGCTGGCTGCAGGGACAGATAGTCCAAATATGGTGCCATCTAAAACAGGTCTCAGCTCTTGACTGGGGTATTGGCCCCCTTTCTTCCCTCCCTCCTTTGCCCAGCCAGTTCACAACCAATTGCAGGGAGTATGTCCTTAGATGATCTCTGAAATGACCCTGGCTCCCACGGCCTCAGAAAGGTCTCCAAATCCCCAGGACAGCAAACAGGCTAGGGGGAGGGGCATGAGTACTGAAGTTCTCCGCCAGAGGATACTGTCAGGAAGCCCAAGGCGGAGATGGTCCCTATGCCCCATGTTTCCATGGAAACATAGGAGGAGTGATGACAGCCAGCACAGCCACACCATCTGCTCAGGACCTGGTGAATGATGAAAAAAAGAGAGAAAGAAAGGCACCTCAAATCCTAGGTTAGAACCACTCAGAGATACCTGTGGAGACAGAGGGAAAGGTCTGAAGACACAAGAACTCCTGGGTGGATCTAAAATCTATGCTGTCCTGGAGTTCACCATATTAGCATGTAATTTGCAAGGAGAAAGCCTAGAAGGTTTACCCTACAATCCCTGGATACAGTTTCAAACACCCAAGAAGCCTCTGGAAGAAGAAGCAGATGGAGTGATGCATCTGCAGCTTTGCTGGAACAGGAGAGAATGGTGTCCCTTGGGATAAAGCTGGAGATGCTGTAGGGGCTGAGGCAGCTTGATGCTGCCCCTATCAACTTCCAGCAGGACCACCTGCAGAGCCAGCTTTTGGCCAGACATATTTTTCTAGGGGAATAGTGGGATTATAAAGAGAAAAATATCCCACTTGGTTACAAAAGTGACCTCTCAGTTGCAGCTGAGTCTTCAGAATAAGGCATGAACTAAAGCCATGCAAGGCTTCTCTTCTATCAAATCATATCTGAAGGGAGATCTTAGATGCTATAGGTTTGTTTCTGGGTCTATTTAGGAGGATTCCAGTTCTAGGTTGGCAGAATATAAGTAGGGCCCCAGACTGAGCAGGATTCATTTGTTAGTCTCTTTCTTTGGTACATTTAGTCTACAATAAACAACCAACCAACCAACCAACCTGACCCAGGAAGCCAAGCAGCTCCTCTCATTTAGCTGCTTCCCCCAGCAGCCCTCCCCTCAGCTGGGTGGTTTGATTTAGCTCCCAGGGGTGTTGCTTGCATCCATGTGGGGAGAAAAGCCCCTCGGGTCACACAAGCACTATAGGATGAGCAAAAGCTAAGATACAGCTTCACAGAAAACATCACTACTCTTTCTCTTTTACATAAAAAATTTCCCTTTTACTTCTGACATTCTAGTCCCCAAAAGTCCAAACCCTTTTTTTGCTTTGTATTAAGGAGTTAAAATTTTGACAACTAGATTAAGTGGTCGTTTTAGTTTGTGTACCCAGAGGCTGGAGGATAATAGGAACATCTTCATAAACCAGATAAATAATAAAGATCTCCCATAAAGGCGTTCACTAACTGTTCTACATTTTACTTGTAAAAACTATTAATTTGGATTTCTCTCCACAACAGCTTAGTAAAAACAGTATCTGCAACTATTATTTGGGTTTCCTCAAAAGCCCACATTCTCCAAGACACTATTACTTGAAAACATAACATGGAAACAATCAATCCAACTATCCTCATGTTAGAGGCACCAAATAGAAAATCATGGCTATTCCTGAAGACACATTTTTAAATACTCACCTTGCAATTGCTTTAGGTGCACGCACTCTCATATATTAACACAAGACACAAGAGTTTAAATTCAAATGTAAATCTTTCTGTTACTACATGGTTTCTGGGAGAGCCTTTCAGAGTAAACCCCTCAACCAGCTGTATACTATCCCAGGGCCTTCCCTCTTTCCTTTTCTGGGATCACCTATTTATCTCCAGCCTCCATGGTGAGGGCAAATCTGTATCTGAGCTCCAGGCCCAGCATGGGACTCGAAGTAAACACGGTTATGTTTGTCCTTCAGCGGCCCTCCTTTGTATAAACAGATGTGGTGGGAAGGGAAGGAAAGCCAGATCCCAGTGAGGGCCGGGAGGTCTCCTTTCAGAAGAAGCTTCCCAGCTGCAGCCAGGAGCACGGGAACAGGACACATTTCTTGTTCAGGCCTCAGAACTTGCAGTTCTTCCAGACAGGGGCTGTTCCTGCTCCCTCCTCCACCCTCCACCCCCAGCCTTTGTTCCTGGGAATGCTGTCTAAATGTCTCGATCTCACTTTCGCCAAAGCAAACATTTCCAACAAGGCTTTATGCTAAGGAGATATTAGGAAGACAGATTTTTTTTTTTCCTTTTCTCCAAATACACTGTGCATTGGGATTTGGGCAGCCAGCCCTTCACACCTGTATTTTTTCCTAAATTTGTATTCTCTATGTTCTTTCCTAACCTTGTTGCTACCTTCAGCTAATGAGGAGGAGTTTTAAGGGCTGGGAGTTATCAGCTTGTAAAATAACAATTCCATTTTCTCAGACTATGTTGATGCCGACTCTGCCTTAATTTAGCGTTTTACATTTTGCACATTAGTTATAGATGCTAATGCAGAAAGGACTGATTCAGAGCTGGGGGAAAAAGGGGGCCAGGCTAAGCATTCTGAAATCTAGTCTCAAATAGGAAAGAAGTCTCACTGGCCTTTTGGTCTTCTATCTGTGTCCCGAACTGAGTTTGTTAATCCTCATTCCGAGGTGGGTGAGGCGAGAGGGTGACTCTTCGGTTTGACGTTGGAGGGATCCCGTCACTTGCACCCAAGGGTTTCCATTTCTGGCAGCCCCAGTCAGCGGTTCTTGTCCAGAAAAAGGAACAAAGGGGAGAGTGCTGGAAGGGACTCCCTCTTGGCTGGGAGTGCGAGGTTTGGTGTGCGTGGTGAGGCATAACTGCAGGCTCTGTGCTGCTCTCTAGGAATGCTGGGGAATCCCTGGTGAGAATCCGGAGCTGTGGCCAAGAGGTCAGGAGAGTCAGGGGGCCTTGGACGGGCTTCCGGTTCTAGGCCAGCTGTGGAGCAGCAGAGGTATGGCCCTGACCAAGACATGCGCTTCTCAGCATGTCTAAAAAAGTAAGCCCGGGGAAGAGCTGTCTTTACAGTGAGAGAGGTTATTATTACTCTTTAGGAGCCACGATGAGACTCTATTACCCTTCTAGCTGATCACCTGCCTCTCCAGACCGGAGACTGGCGGCAAGTTTGCAGTCGACACCCGGAGGCCAGTCTGTCCCCCTTCCCCGTAAGAAATAAAAAGAAAGGAGGTTGGTTTCCAGGGCTGGCCAGCTGGAGGGTGGGTGGGACCCCCACTGGAGGCCAAACCGCAGAGGAGAGCAGGTCCGGGTGGAAGAGGTCTCCTCCGCGCCGCCCCTTTATTTCGCTGAACTTGCGGGCTCCAGAGACCTTAAACAGTTTGTTTGGGGCGCTGCTGCTGCGGGTGGCACAGCTCTCTCCCCGCGCCTGGGCGGCCAGGGAATTCTCCCGCACCCACCCGGGTCCGCCGCCCGCGGGAGCGCCCAGCAGGGTCAAGTGGATTCTGGGCCTAGGGAGAAGTGCGTGCTGCCCCGGCAGGGCCGGGCGCGGGCGGGCGGCCGACGGATGCGGCAGGGCCAGGCAAAGCTCCGCATCCCCACGCACTCGGCGCCGCCACCTCGCCGCCCTCTCCCGCTTGCGGGGCCGCCCCGGGCACCCCCGGGCTGCCGAGAGGCGGGCGGGCCGCGTAGGCGGCGGGAGAGTGTCGGCAGGGCGGCGCGGCCTGCGAGCGCCGCGGGACCCCGAGGAGCGGCGCGGGGAGCGCAGGGGCGCGCGGGGCGGGCGCGGCGCGGGGCTCACGGCGCGCGCCCGCCTCGGCCTCGCCCGCGCACACGCGCCTCCCGGAGGAGAAAGAGGCGGGCGGGCGGGCGCAGAGCACCGCGGCGGCGGCGGCGGCGGCGGCGGCGGCGGCGGCGGCGGCTGCAGCGGGCCGGGCCGCCGGGAGGGAGGGGAGGAGGGGCGGGCGCTGGGCCGGGGGCGGGGGGCGGCGGCGGCGGCGCGGCGAGCTCGCTGCTCTCTCCTGAGTGTGCCTGCGCGCAAGCCGGGGAGCGGGTGAGTGCGCTGACCGCTGCCGCCTGGCCGGCCCGGAGTCGAGGGTGGAGGGCGCCGGGAGCCCAGACCCGGGGGCGGGCGGCGGCCGCTCCGGCGCGGTTGGGATGCACCTTGAGCGGCTCTTTTCGTTGCAGCGCGCGGGCGGCCCGAGCCTCGGTGGCGGCGGTAGCGGCGGCGGCGGCGCTGACACCTCCCACCATGGACAGCTTCGACTTAGCCCTGCTCCAGGAATGGGACCTCGAGTCGCTGTGGTGAGTCCCTGTGCCGGCCGCTTCGGGCAGGCGGGAGAGGCGAGGGGCGGCCGCGGCGGCCCGCGCGCCCTCACCTGGGCCGGGGGCTCCGGGCGACCGGCCGCCGTGGGGGTGGGGTGGGTCGGGGGCGCCCGCCTCGCCGGCCCTTTCCTGCCTCCCCGGGGGGATGCGCGGCCGCCTGCCGGTCTGTTTCCTCCTCTCCTGTCCCCCTCCCTCGCGGCGGCCCGCCCCAACCCAGGGGCTGGTGATCTGGGTAGCCAGGGGCAGAGTGCAGCTTTGGGGAGGAAAAGAAGCGATTTGAAGACTGTCACTAATGCCTGGGGATCCACCCGTCGGCCCCCTGCTCCTCTCACTTCCTTTCCCTCCGATTGCTCCCCCTCCCTCCTCCCCGAGAGCCTCCGGCTGGCACCAGCGACCCCCTGGAGTTGGCGCTGCTGCGAAGTGCCCTTAGAGGATGCTCCAGTCTCCCTGCCTGCGCCTAGTCTCGGCTGCATCCTTTCTGTCTCTCCCACCCACTCCCACCGAGATGGAAAAGTGAACACACAGGGCAGGAGACGTGTGTTTCTCCGTGCGGGAATTCCAGAGGCCTTGGCCCAGGGAGACTCCTTTCCTCGAGGTTCACAATTCCTCTGGGCCCTTTCTTCACACCTCTTCACAGTTGCACTCCTCCTCCCCACCCCACTCAGGCACCCCGGGTATCCCTTTTTGCCACGCTCGCAGCTCGCTGGCCGGGGGGCACTCCAGGCTCTGTTTCTCGGGAATCTCACACTGGGGAGCTGCTGTAGGTAAATCGCCGCTAGAAGCGGTTTAATTCCTGTTGCGGGCGTCTTAAAAATCCCATTGGCTGGCTCAATATCCCTCTTATTCCCCCTTCTTTCTCTGCCCCCCCAGCCCCCCACTATCTCTTAAATGTTTCCAACCAGCACTATTCAGGTGATAAAATTACTGCCTGCATATTCCTGGAGGAACTTGTGTTATGTTTAATATTTATGGGGATGAACATCTGCTGGAACAAGCATATTAACTGCACTCTGTTCTGCCTTTGGTAATCGCTTATTGTAGAGCTGAGTTTTTTTTTTTTTTTTTTTTTTTTTTTTTTTTTTTTGTTTTAATTCAGTAAAGAGTTCACATGTGTCTAAAACTGCAAGTGGTGTGCACATGAATATGCAATGTACAGTTTTAAAGCTTAACTGCTTTATGATTTATGACTCATATAGATGATATGTGGATCTGCGTGTATTTTCTGTGATTTAGGTTTCCAGTGACTTTTATTTTCCTAAAGACAGGTGTAACAAAATAAACTGGACACAAAGCTAGCACATTATCGAACGGTTTCTTACAAAAGATCCTGTGATGAGTAAGTACAGCTTGCTCTGCATAATGTTGGTGCCTATAAAACATACAAGGATGGGCCCTAATGTAATAAAACTTTTACATATTGCACTAGAAACTTCAAAGAGCCAGGGCAGAGAGAATATGAAGCATGTTATGACTCTGTAAAAGTTGCTAATTACTATGTTGCTGCTTCTGGGGTTTCATTTACAGATACCTATTATTTTATAGGTTTACATTTACAAATGTTGGTTTCTGGCACAAATTCAATAGCTTTCCAGACAGCAACTGTACTTTAAAAATGACGTTTGCTTTTAAAAGGCAGTTTTTCAGTCAAAGGGAAGAACTTACTGTTTTGGTATGTTTTTATGCTGCTTGTCTGTTTGCTGACTCAAAGTGAACCCCCTCATGACTTTTATAAGTAATATTTTGAGATTATCAGCCATAATTTGTGGGCTCTTCCTGCACAGGGCCTGAGCTCTGTTTCCTTTTGCATCCTTAGTTCCCAGCTGAATTACCCTGGAGCAGTGTCACAGAATAAATATCTTTTGAATTGACTTGAAATTTACATTAGATACAGTACATTTATTATTTTTTAGAAAGCAGAAACATACATGTTTTTTAAAAAGTTGATGTATATGCAATCAGATTTTAATCAGTGCATTGATTTTTGGCTTATGACAGCATGCAGACTTTCTTGATCACAGTATAGTAGGGCAGTTTGGCTTGACCAGGGAGGGTTTCCAGTTTTGCAGATGTAGAATTACATTTTACAAAAGCTTTTATGTTTCTGGTAAGTTAAAGATAAAGCAGACTTGAGTATGCATTTCTAACATGTTTAGACATTTTTCTCAGTTACAGATGAATTTTTGGACGCTGTTCTCTGTTTTATGGTTTACATAAATTTTTAAGTTTATGGTTTATTTTTAAGCTCATAAATGGTTCAGAACATGAATATTTGAGTGCTTTCTGCATGTCCAATATTTTGATATCCATTGTTTTCTTATTTGAATGTCTTCATCCTGGAAAGGGTAAGTGGTAGTAGTCCCATTTTATAGATGAGGAAATAGAAGCTTTGAACTATTAAATGACTTTACTGAGGTCATAAAACAGATGACAGTAAACTTTTTTTTTTTTTTTTTTT